AGACATGGTCACGAGGATAGCGCGTTTAATTATGTTGTCCAATACTTGTCAGGTTCTTCACTTCAGCTCTGAGAGAATCGGCATTAAATTGCATTGTAGGGGAATAAACCTATTGTTTAGAAAAGTGCTCACACGTAAGTGGTGGTAACGGAAGTACCGCCTAATGCTGTACATTTATTCCTGGCCTGATTAAGAGCCAGTACGTCTTGAAGGATGTTACCGACAACAGCAAGAGAGGAAGGCTTTTCCTGGTTGATTTGCCACTCCTATCCCAACTCGCGGTTGTGGTAACCTGAGGCCGGAATTCGTGCTCGGATTTTCGCCGAGAAAACTACTTGAAAATCGATACGGACTAGATTTTCGGTCCTGAAAGTGTTAAAATAGTCCGGTTCACTGGAAACTGTTTAATATTTACTTGGAAATCAATTATTAAGGGCCAAAAAAGTGAGCCAAGCCTACCGTGAACTGTTTCGAAGGTCTGAACAGCTCTATCGAGGAACTGGGGTCTCTGGCCAGCAATGTTCACCAGACTGTCCATAATGGCGTCAAAGACTGCCCCCGTGACAACAAAACGTACAGAGGCCTCATCGCTCTTGCGCAACGGCAGGCTCGTCAGTCCGGTAAGCAGGCGCTCCGCCTCGTCGGCCAGGCGTCGCGGTCGAATGAGGCATATGCCAGGCAGGGGACTGCTTGAGGAGGCCGCCGTGCTAGAGTCGACAATGCTCTTCAGCAGACTGTTTGGCATGTCCGGGATCTGATCGAGAGAGATGTCAGTCTCAGCCCTGGCTGGTAACAGAGACGCCGAGGTACGACGGGATTGGGCGATTATGACAGTCTGAAAGCAAGGGAGGGCGGGCGTTCACATGAATAAGTACACAGCAGCGCCGGAGCCTTCCTGCGGCCCCTTGTCACATCTTGTTAATTTGCTTTAACGACGGAGAAACATAGAATAAGTGTGCGCTGACACCAACCGTATATTTCACTAAATCCGCCCATGTTATTATCGACGTAGTAAAAAAAAAGATTTTATTTAACAACTAAGGACATTTATCCCCTACGAATAACCTAAAGCACTTTGTATATTTTTCTGAGAACTGGTAAGAAAACGTCCTAGGATTTACCAGAAAGGTTGCTTTCTGCACTGTAGACGCGTAAGGAAAAAACAAAGCTTAAGTTAAAATTGCATGCGCACACCTTCCTCTTTAAAAAGAACCTCTGATAAAGTGTTAAGAATATGTTGACACCACATGTTGGCAAAAAATGCTGAAATGCGACGAATATGGCAGGGCACTAGGAGAAGGTCCGAACGTGCAGACTGGGTGTGCTTCGAAACACTACAGTTTCATAAAACTAAGAAGCGTGATTATGACATGTCCATAAAAAAAACTAAGGTCTGTAGGGTAGTCTCATGTTTTTAGGAGTAGGATGTCATGGTCCTTTCCGTATTAAGAGGCAAAAGGCGCAATTTCCACAGGAATAAGAGGGTGTGCACATTTCGTGATATAGATGATGGACATTATAAAGCAAAGGTGTCGCCCCCCGGTGAAGCTACGCAACGGCTTGAACAAAAATACACTTTAGAGAAATACACAGGAAAACGTCCTTCGGCATTGCGAATAGCCACTTAAGAATACTCTAACGCCGGTACAGGCAACAAATAGAAGTAGAAGCATCGCAAAAAAGACATAGAAGGTGATGATAAGTGTCGCGTGGTTACTTGCCTCAACCAATTTTATGATACTCGTCTTAGCCCCGTCGCTGATCAAGGCGCAGAGCCGAGTCAAAACTGCTGGAGGCGGGGGTACCAGAGTGGTTCCCTGCATGACGCCCACAGAACCAGGGAGGAGTAGCCGAATAATCTCATCTTTAAGCGCCGCCATTGATCGAAAATGCTCGAAGGCATTGTCGGCAGCTGAGCCGGCTTCGATACCACTGCCGCCAAGAGCGCCCGATTCAATAAATCCCACCTTCACGGCTCGTGTCAAGGCCCGGCGGTAGAGAGGACCCATGGTCAAGATAACTGATCGCAGGAGACTTGAAAGTGGAGGTTCTTGATGGAGTGACAAGTTAAAAAGGTGAGATAGGCAGCCGATTGACTTAAGAAGTAGACCGGCATCTACAAGGCTGCAAAAGAAAGGACAGTAAGATGAGCGACAAGGTGTCAGAAATAAAAGAGGAATCGTGGTTATAGCTAACAGATAGAGTGCTCACCATGCATCCTCGATAAATTTCACTATAAATTTCTTAATGGCCAAATTCGGATAGTGTTGGAAGGCAACGACTTCCTTTTGAGGACGAAATAAAATAACAAAAACAAACCTCGAAAAAGTTATCCAGCAAAGAACTGTCATAGTTGGTGATTAACTCCTTAACTTGCTGCAAATTGTTCAATTTTTCTGTATCATCCAGAGATAGGGTTGCCTTACGAAGAAGTCCAGCGACCTAAAATATGTAACCTTAAAAAACGTCAAAAGGGTACCCTCTCGAATTGGCCCGCGGGCATGTTTAACAAAAACTTCGTAAAAGCCGCCTTCTCTTATTCCGATAACGACTCTGTTAGCTCAAGCTTATTGGCTATTTTCGACGAATCACTGCGGAGGTTACGATATTTATTCTGATGTCCCCAAGTCTAAGTCCTTTTGTGAAGGATGTAAGGTTCTCATTCTTAAGCTTATTTGTGAACACGGCCATCACGATTGCAAGAGAAAGTCAAAAGTAAAACATTTTTATTGCATACGATTGCGAGGGGAATATTCGAAATCCCTTTACTCAATAACAACGGGCATTCATGTTCTGTCTCTTCTTGTGTACTGCAATCACAAAATTACAAGTTACAGAGGACGCTAAACTACTCCAGCCATGGTCGTCTGGGAACCATTAAACCGTAATCCTTATAGACTTTAGGGCATGCTTACCAAACTGGTGTCCGCGTCTTTCAAAAGGAAAGCTTGCGATTGGATTTGGAATGAAAACGGGAATCGGTAAAGCGAAAATTTGAATTTCAAGGTGCACATGGAAAGAACATAAGATCGCCGGACCAAGAATTAAAGTTGCCTAAAGTTTCAGATCCCAATTCAAATTAAACATCAGAGACAGAATCAGATAATAGTAATCGATACATAAGGGTTGCCGTATTTATAGGATTCATTTCGCCCGCTGTGCAAACGTGGTTAATCGACCTGTCCGTGCATTATATCAGCACTTAATTTGAAGGTTTGACGGTGACCTTATGCATAGAACATGGGTCACATAAGCATGAGTAGGCAGTCTGCGACTGGCAAGGTTAATATTTCCCACAATAATTTCGATTTCACCGAGCACATTCACCAGTTGTTAATTTCAAAGAGAAAATGCGAGAGAGGTCACAAATTCAGAAAAAGGAAAGAACCTTCTTAAACATCTTTTGTCCATTTGTACTAAAGGTCAAGATAAAAGACAACGCATCTACTGAGATAAGCAAAACCAAGGGGCTTTCTCTGTTGTGAAAGTAGGCGGACCATTAACACTCTCTAGAAAATTCTGAGACGACGAACTAAATAGGCGAGTTATTATGAGGCAACGAAGTTTGAATATTATTCGGGTAAGTACTGCATTGCTTAGAGAGGACGCGAATGACCAAGAAACCCCTGTGAGCACAGAGTCAGACGTTGACTTTACCACGATATATATACCTGAATCAAAAAGTGATGACATCAGGAAAATCCCTCTGTGGGTCGCAGAATGTGAGAATAAATCCCATGGTTTGGAGTATGTCATAAAAATCGTCATGAGATATGCGCCTCTGTTGTCGTATTGCACCATAACGCACAAAATGCATAACGCGGAGCAGGTAATTACAGACTGGCACCTCAGACGGCATCAGTGAGCATCTTCTCCTTCACTTGCTTCTGTGGGCCGAGTTATATTGGTCGCCCGACTCGGTGCATATCCAAGAGAATACGAGAACGATTCCCCGTACGGCTACAGCAGAAGCGACCACTATAGGTTTACAAAAGCCGATCTTGTACGGGTCATAAGAATCACATTCAAGTTTCGCACCTACTGTGATCAAAAGTCGCTTAATTTTGCAATTCTTCTTTTAATTCCGCTCTCACAGCCTCCCTGGCGTTCACTGTTATCACCTTCCTCCGCAGTCTCACATACCGCCTGTGTTTTAAGACGAACTCTAACCGATTTCTGTAATCAATGACAGGTTTTTACTTAAACCCCATCTCCATATAAATATATTGACCAGAGGAGAATTAAATAAAGGCAGACTTATAATTGCCAACTGTTCCTCTGAATACTGCCATGAGAAACATTGCAGATCTAAATCCATAGTGATCGGAAACTATTACAGTAATATTCCATACCCCTCTAAAGGGTAACGAGATTACAATTGCCCTTAAGGCTCCAGGACAGACCGCGCAAAAGATCTTGGGGATTATTCGGACCAGCGACGACCACTAAAAGTTGCCGCAAAGTGGAAGACAATAACAGGTACAGTTTTTTCAGTTCCGTTTTATTAAGGGAAATATAGGTGAACGCCTTTGAACTCCCTTTTGCTTGCAATAACGTCATCAAAAATCAATATGTAAGTCAAGTTTGACAGAAAATTACGCAAGTAATTACATACGGCATAAACTAGTTAGTCGTTTAAATTTGTCCGTGAATGCATGCTATGTCAAACTCGTACAATAATCGGTACGCGGTACTGAAATCGGCCAAGTAAACTCGAAGAAAACGTTTATGATTTGGTCAGGGTTTAAATGAGGAGTCCCAAAATAAAGGGTAGTATGCTTTGTAACTTTAAACTTTGGGGTGGTCCAGGGAAAATATTGCTATTTTCTGGTGACATGGTGGTACATTTCCCTGTACTGGTCAAGCTTCCTCTTTAATGGGTCCACGGATGTGGACATGACGACGTCCACAGGCAGGGCATTCCATGCCTTAATCACACTGTGGGTGAAAAATAATCTCTTTGCGTTCACTCTTGCCCCAGTCACACGTAGTTTAAGAGGATGTCCTCTCAAGCTAGTCGTGATGGCCAGCTCAAAGAAGTCGCCGGATGCGAGGTAACAATCCTGACCCCGAATCATCTAAATGTTTAAATTAGGTCACAACGTATTGTCTGTCGTCCGCGGAAAAGAGGTCAAGATTGGAAAGTGTACTTCCGTAAGGTAGGTTTTTTGGCATGTGACAAGCTTGGTTGCCCGTCATTGGACTTTTTCGACGGTGGTACGATTTTTGACAGATCAGGGTCTCCAGGCCTGAATGACAAATTCTAACTGTGGGCGCTCAATCATCTCGGAGACCTTGCGAAAGCACCCTTCGTCGAACTTCTCAAATGCCCGCCCGAAGAGATTTAAGCTGGACATTGCTGATTTCCCTGCCTTTAAACAGTGGAGTGATGGCTTTAGTGAGGAAATTATTCACACATCAAGATCCTTCTGAACATCTACCACTGGCAACGATGTGTAATTTAGATAGTACGTCCTCCAGTGCGCAGAGCTGGTTCTGTCAGTTCTCAGAATGTTGCATTTGATAACATAAAATGGGAGAAGTCATTGCCCCGAACATTGTACAAGGCAGCTAAAGTTTGCCTGTAGATTTGCTTCATCGTCCTCGTTGCGAATGACGTTCCAAAGCTTTATGTCGTCAGCAAATCTGGCCCTGTCACAGTCAACACACGAATGCAGTCATCAATATATATGAGGAGGAGGAGGAGGAAGAGGAGGAGGAGGAGGAGGAGGAGGAGGAGGAGGAGAGCAAGGCCAATAACGGAGTCCTGAGGTACTCCGCTCGAAACCGTCGCCTTCGCCGATTGTTGGTCACCAAGGCGGATGATCTGAGGTCGACCGATCAAGAAGTTTTCAATCTACTTTAAAAGCTTGACTCTTACCCCTATGCGGCTGATCTTGTATAGCAGACGTTGGCGCGGCACACTGTCTAAAACCCTGAAGTCTATATAGGCTGCATGAATCACGTTTCCTTCATCAATCACTTGAATCCACCGTTCAAGACAGTAGAGTAAATTGGTCAAGCAGCACTTCACTGTGTAATCCATGTTGCACATCAGAGAAAGGAGGATGTTGCCCTAAAACCACACCAGTTCGCGTTTGATACTTCACTCCATAACTGTGCAACATATGGAGGTGAGGCTTGTCGGTAGGTAGTAGATCGCGGCAGTGCGAAATCCACGCAGTCTTCCACTCAGGAGGCAGTCTGCCTGCATCGAAAGAGGCATGGAAGCGAAGAGGTAGAGGTTCTGTTACTTCTGTGTCTAATTGCTTTAACAACTTTGTTTGTTATTTCATTAGGACCTGGCGATTTCTTTTCTTTCAGCTACAACGACTGGCGTAATTCGGCAGTCGACAATATACCTAGGTCCCTCAATTACAAGTCAGTAGGTCTCACACTTGACCTTTCTATTGTGCCAAAGAGATTCAGAGAAATCTAGAAGATCTAGAGCCTACACAGAGTGTTCATGAAAGGCTATCCTAGCACTGACAAACTGGTTTCCGATGCAGCCCTCAGAAAGGGTGCGCATACAACGCTCTTATGGAATTACTCGAACAAAGAACGGATGGCTGATGAAATATATGAAGGTTTGTCCCAGCAGAATATTGAACGAGTTCACATACTCGACCTGGGGCAGTTTGCATGCAGAAGATCTAGGAGTAAATTAGGGACTATGCAATGCGATTTCACTGCATCTAATTCCGGTTTCGTAGCCCCGCGATGGTATTAAAACATATAGTGGCCGAATGTATTTAACAGGAGACCTTGGCGACAGTTAGGAAAGGAAGGCAAAATATGATGGATTTAGAATGGCCGGCGCCAGAAGATGAGAATCAACCTATGTACTCCTATTATCAAACTGGCGAAAGCCTTGATATCGCCAACCGCTACAGACTCTGCATAAACACTTTCCTTGACCAGTGCGGTGATGCATTGTTAAATATTTTCTCCTAACCTCCTAGATATCCATTTCTTTGCGCCTGCTTCGACGTAAGTTCATCGCCCCGACTTTCAATATCAAGGCAGGTTAAATAAGCCTTGATGTCCAACGATGGCTCGGTAGATCGCCACATTAATTTGTCCGTCCATTATCTGGTTTTAAGAAGCTGCTTGGCAGGAGATAGTGACAGTGTGAAGCAATAGTCGCACAAAGTGAACAATCTGTGATGAACGCGAAAGCTACAGATTTGGTAGGCGTGTAATGGAATAGAAACTGCTTTCTACAAATACTTCAACCCTGGCGGGCCTCTTATCTGACGTTATTTCTGATGGTGGAGTTAAGTATGAGTCAGGAAATTCAGACTCGAATCATCATTCCATCGAGCTCGTCGTCTTCATCATGGAGATGAAACCCGCATAAATAAGGACTACTTTAGGAGATCAAAACAAAAACAAATCCTTTTTCGCACCTCCTTTTAACTTAAGACAAAGTGCCTGCAAAGAACGTCTTTTATTTGTCATAATTTTGCAGTCGTAGCACGAACAGTTAAATCTAACATGTCGAGCCAAAACGTCTTCTTTTCATGCAGAAATCCAAAAGTCATGTCATAATATGATTAATGACTAAAAGTCAGCCAGGCTTACTCTTTAGGAAACCAACTGAATGTCTCCCCACACTGTCTTCATGCTAGCCCATTCTTGGTTCCTTCAATACCTAATAAAGGTACAGCTAAAATGTCATGTCGGACTCTCTCCTAATATTTAAAACTTCTACCAGATCCAACATTATTCTAAACAACTGTCCTTGTACTTAAATCAGATCATCGAACTGCATAGAAAATTCCCTATTTCCGCAGCCTACCCTGCTTTGAGTCCCTAGCCCAAGGAGTTTCTTTATGACTGCCGGACTAAATACCTATGACCTTTATCAGACATTGCATGACGTATTGCCTATTTAATCGTCTCTTTTTACTTGAAATTATGCTTTTCTGTGGAAAAGTTCGAATTAGTATTTGCCATTCATCGTTAAAATTCAACCAGTACATTTTTTGTCACGAAAAAAGTGGAATTTCTATTTTGTTTGGAAATATGTATAGCTCGAAGATCAGCTGCTATTGAGGGCAAACGCTACTTGAAATACGCACGCAATAGGGGACATCTTGGCTTTAAGTAGGGTGACTGGCAAACTCTTACAAAGAAGCGGACTGCCTCACTCATTTAAGCACACGCAATAGACAATGTCTATTCAACTAGCAAGTTTAGTTGTCCCAGAATAAATTCGCTCGCCACTACACGAACAGATAAAGGGCTTCTGAATACTCCTACTGGCGGCTGCTAAAACAAACTCATAGATTCCCATGTCTTTTTCCAGTTCAAACTCTACCCAGAATAAATCTTTCTAGTTCCTGTAGCAAGCTAACCTCTGTAAAAGTTGAACATCCACTTAATTCGTATAAAAAACTCTCGAACACCCTAGCTCCTATCATTATTAAAATCTCCAGGTTTCGTCCTCAGTTCTAACAAATCCCTCTATGCAAACAATAAATAATCATTCGATTTTTTATGTTTGTTGTATCCATAGATTTTGTATATCGCATTTTCGGCTACTCTATGTTAACTGTTCGCATTGCAATAGCACTGGCGTTCTTAACAGCTGTTCCAAAAATTACATCCCCGTTGCATTGTCATCTCCACTTTTGGTCATTCACCCCACCAACCAAGTCGGAGGTCGACAGCGACGCCATCTGTCTGCAGTCGTGTCGTGTCGTGTCTTGGTGGTGGTGGTGGTGGTGGTGGTGGTGATGCCGAGTTCCAGGACACTGGGCGAGACGGCAGCCAGCACGGTGCCTACTACCGCTTCAAGGGCAGAATACAGACCCGGCGCCAACTCTGCGGAACCACCTAAGTAGGTGAGTGTTGCGTCAGTGAGGATAGAGAGAAGAGGGGGACTGTTTCTAGCGCAGAGCTTTTATGGGTGAACCGATGTATGGACTACTGGAAAATTAAGATGAGCATAAAAAGGACAGACCGAGAAGCCTACATTCACCGCTCCGGCCAAATAAGGGTTCAAATCATTTCGGTTTATTTGATAAGGATGATAGGTAAGGCCTTTGAAAACCCTACCCATTACATGTCAGCTCGGCAGATGCAACTATACATGAACAATGGAATTTGTCGTCGATAAAATAGCACTTGCAAGATTTAAGTAGTACGGTTTTGAAGGCAAACGTTCTGCCGTTCACGTGGTATTCAGCTCAGGTTCGGATTGTCGAGGGAAAACAAGGGACACGAGTTATTGTCCATGTGTTTCTTGAAGAGCTGTAGGACTTCGCTTGCACGACTGATTGAGGGAGATCATTCCATTCCTCTACTACGCTTTGTGTGATGACAGTTGCTTCCGCTGTTGCTAGTAAGCGCAGACCCACTTGCTTAAGGCAGTGGCATGGGACCTTATAAATTAGGCGGAAGTCTTCGTTGGGGTCAATGCGATGACCAGAAAAGACCCCTGTGTGCGAGAATGGGGCTGTGTACGCTCTTAATTTCACCTTTCCTCAGCCATGCCAGCAGGTGTTCTCGTATCCTTGCGGAAAGGTGCTGGCTCGTACGACCAATATAACCTGCTTCACAGGAGCAGGTATGGACTTTCCTCTGAATACGTTGTGCATAAGATGTGAAGAAGTCAAATGGGTCGCAGACAAGGTTAGAGCGCCCCAGTCGATAAAGTAAACGCTCTCACTGAGGCCGTTCAAGCAGTTTTTTCGTTAATAATGAACCCTTGTGTGCTCATAGTTTCACCAACTCAGGGAATCAGGTGTGCCATAGGGCCATGCGCATTCGGAAGCTTCTTTTCTGCAGGGAGAAGTGATCTATCTTGAACTACCGCGCCCGGGATACCGTTATCAAGATACATATTCAACATTCCGTGCACTATCTGTCCATGAACTGCAAATCCACTCACAAGGCGGTTGCTGGCAGACGAAAATTTGGTTTTGACAACACACCGTCCCGATAAGCCGAACGACAGTGAAAGAGACTCAGCCGCAGCCCTCAGAGATTCAGGAAATTAATGCTCTTCCGCCGATCCGGATGGGTTTTAAACATCTTCACAAAGCCCCCACCACTAGCGGTTTGTTTCGCAGTGTTTAAACGTCATATTGCAGAAGGGCTTTTTGGTGTACGAAAATATACGCTTTAGAGAAGCTAGTGAATCACCTGACCAAGCTGGACAGCCATCAGCCCCAAGTAAGTTTTGTTTCGTTAAATGAAAAATAACGATGTCTTCCTGAGGTTTTACGAGCCCTTCTGTGCTGTTCAGGGCCTTTTATTCGTGTACAGTAACCTGACTGAGACAAGAGAGCGGATAAAATAAAATAACAGTTGAAGGAGGAGATGGTTCGCTTGATTCAAGGTAAACTTGTGCCTTTTACTTCTAGAACATTTTGGGGTGCCAGAAAGAGTCGAAACTCGGAACGTGAAAGAGTGAGATATCGCAAATTGCTTTAACAGGAACCTTGTAATTCAAGGACTTAACCGGGTGAGGAGTAAGATAACAACCATTCATCGGCTGAACCGTAAACGAGGTAGTAAACATGAGTTTATGTTGCCTGTAGACCGCAAGGATGACGAGATGCCTATTCATGTCTGAACTGCACCTGGCCTCGAAACTTTATCTTACGGCGGTGAAAAACACCTCTGTTGTGAATGCGATTGTAGAGGTAGTTTTATTAGACTTTCAGTGCAAATTCAATCAAAAGACGAACAATGATAACAAACAGACCGGATTATTGGGAAGAAGAAAGTCAGTGTGTAAACACATAACGCCTTGACCTTCGATTAGTTTTTAAAAGCAGCCCTTGTACAGCGAATTGGCTATCTGTGTTTATCGTAGATGCAGACGTCAGTACGCTGACGACAATTACCTTAGTA